TTTGAAGTCTCCTTCAGCTGGTTAATTAACTCGCTGTACTCAATGGCTTCCGATGGCTTTACTTCTATACACGGATTCCAGAATTTCCCTTGTTGAGTATTCCGATTTTATACACTTTGGAATACTCTGGAGTATTGCTGTCCTGAGATGAAGCTGATACGACTGAAGTTGCTTCCTTTAAATTATGATGTGATGATAACGGTTGGTTCACATCTATAGTTGAAGATTGATGCTCAGTCTTGTTAAAGTTCAGATTAAAACGGTAAATAAACGCATGGCATGAGTTGGAAATTTTTAAAGCTGTTTGTTTAGGAATTAAACACTGAATTGACAGTAGTTTCTTAATCAACTCTACAATTAAATTACCATTTGAAGATGAACATCTCTTGTTGTTATTTGGAAACGGTCTAATCCATTTTCAATTATTGAACGTTAAATACGTTAAAACGTTATAAGTGATTAAACAAAAAATGACTGATGATGAAATCTGAATTTGTTTAAGTACAAAAACACATAATTTTTGACCATGTTTAGAAATTCAAATTTAACGGAAAACGTATTAAAACCATCGTGTCGCATGTTACTACAGAATTCAAAAATAAGATCAATGCAAGTCGTGTTAAGTGTTCCAGACCACATTGGACACACTTGGACATGTTCCGGGTACCCCGGGGAAGCTGCTTGAATATGAATTGAATTAAAACCCATTAAATCACATTAAAATACGATGATAAGGTGATTGGTAGCCTCACCAAATAGACTACACCCGGATATATTCCGGGTACCCCCAGGCAGTGGCGTAGCGTCACTGGATGACACGGGGGTGGGGGGCTTGGTCACTGATAATGACAATAAAATAAATAAACTTGAATAAGTTAGAAGGGTCTGATCACACCATAGGTGGATAAATTCGGGGTTTTTTGTTTGTGTCTGCATACGGATTGAACCATCAGGTGTAGTCAATTGCATTTGCATCTCAAGGAACCAGACCACACTTCCTGAAACCATTCTAATGGGTGACATTCGTGTTTTCCATTGCGTTGATTGCTTATCGTTATCATCACACCTCCATTGTCGAACCGCCAGTTGACAAGCACAGTGTCCATGAACTTGTATTGGCTTGAAGAAGGAATTGTCCAAAGACTGAATGAAGTGGGTTTTATTTGGTTGAAGGGAGGTCAAGACTATTGCAGAACTGAACCGTAGCCAAGTGGCGTGTGACGGGTGACCATCTACGAAGACGATGACTGGGAAAACAATATTCATATTTTTAGCCACGGATAGAACACGTTAGGCATACATACGTAGTAGGATCTAGTTTTCATCCAGCCCCTCTACTTCAAAAGTGAATCGTTAAATTCTACGCGCACCATTAAGCAAACGTTAAATGCAGAAGAAAGTTGTAAGCGCGTTTATATTTTCGCTTACTCTATTATTATTCAGGTGTGAAACTCATAAAAAAATGGTTGTACAATGGAGGGCCAAGCGTAATATATTTTTATTGTTTATATCATAGAGGTACACACTTAGAAATGATCACCGGCATCGGTACTTTTTAACGAACTTTCAACAGCTGAACTATTCGGGTAAAATCAGGCATTTTAGTTCATTAGTTTTAAAGCATCAAAACAAGGAAAACTCAAGTGGTAAGTCACTCAGCACATTGTGCTGAAATTAGATTCGGCACAGCTTGGGTACATCCATCGGCATACCTTGAGCACACCTTCGGCACAATCTCGTAGGCTTTGGATTGTTGAAAATAAAGTGGGAACACTGATGGACAACTGTCATTGTAGTTGTTCACTACATTACGTGCTGTTTGACTGTATATTCAGGAACATCCTCTAAATGAATATACCAGAGGAACTCAGACCAGCAGATTCAAATATAGAATGTAGTTCCTATAGTGGGCTTAAGAGAAAGAGGCAGTTAATCAAACCACATTAGTACCCTTATTTCAAATAATGCTGCAAATCACGCAAAAGAAACTTAAGAAGTCTATTCATCATCCTCTATACTGCCCATAATCGCAAGTCAGTCCCATCTGTAAAAACCTGTAAATGAGAAAACAACGTTCAAAGATTTTACAAGTTTTCTGATTTGACACTTATTTTAGAGGGATAAATTTAAAAATAAACGTACAATGTGATAGAATGCATCTATATTTACCAAAAAATATTGGATAACATTTCATGAAATTTTTATTTTATAGCCAAAATCTGAGTGGGACTGACTTGCGTCAATGAGAAAAATAACCGCAAGTCAGTCACAATTCCATGACGATGCTGCATTAGTTTAGCACAATAATGAACGGTATAAAGATACCATGGTCCCATAGAACGTTATTGTATGTTTCTGGATTTGTTCCGCTGGTTCCAGAGCAATGGCCGGAACATATTCCAGTGAGTATGGGTCTTCATCAGACCAGAGCCAAACGTGCCAAACCCACCATGCAATAAATCAATTCACATGAGAATTCAAAAATAATATCAATAAGAGTCATGAGCACCATGTTGCCCACACCCGCATATGTTCCGGGTATTCCCGGGGAAGTGGTAAATCCTTTTTATATCAAAATCTACCAAGCGATACAGCAAATCACATGAGAATTCAAACCCATATCCATTAGCGGTCAAGCTGAGTATCGTGGCCACACCCCGACATGTTCTAGATACCCTAGGGAATGTGGACAAAATCTGTCTTGAGACAAATCTCATGATGCGATGTGTTGTCTAACAATTTTAATTCTATAAAAGCAATCCTAAAAACATATCTGTGACGTTGTTTTATAGTTTACTTCATGCCATCCTATTTTTTTCTAATGGGGCTGACTTGCGGTTACTTTTCGCTGTGGGACAATTTGACTTGGTATTGTTTTTCATTTTTCTTGAACAAACCACCTTTTTTCAATAGCACACGAAACGAAAATCAATTATTTTATTCATGTGTTTCACTTATACATTTTTGCCAAAACATCAGCCTTATACATTCCATAAGACAAACCACATAGGTCCTATAAGAATACATAAAAGGTATGTATGACCGTATATACATTTCATTTGACACATGATCTTCATAAACTTTTTGCAAGGCGTCTCCTTATTAGCTGACTTATACATTTTATGAATAATCAACAATAGAAATTTGCCAAAAGGTATAAGGAGATTTCTATTCGTGCACATCTCAAAAAAACATAGAAAGATAAACTGAATAATGATCCTAACTCAAAATTGATAAAAATGCAGATGTGACTGACTTACGATTACCGGCAGTATAGTCGGTCTACAAAAATGCTCCCCGCCGGTTCCAACTCTTTCCGGCCGCTGATAGACCGATGCATTTCACATCACGAAAAGCTAGGTTTCTGGTCTGCCTTTGATGGCATTATAAAATACTAAAACACAGGACTTTTATTACCCTATGAACACAAAACTCAAAAATTTCGCACACACGCCACTTCAAGCGTCATCCTCAATCCGATTTATCCTTGCGATTTCAAACCAAAACATTCAAGGCGTAAGAAATACCGGGTTGTCGGGATGAGTATTTTACAAACAATCACAGATTGCTCTATGACCGGCACAATCGGCACACTGGCGGCTCACTGACAAAAAAGATGACCCAAGATTGGTGTGCGAAGTGACCTACCTCTTGGGAAAACTTCACCACAATGGCAAGATTTGATTATTTGAACAAGGCTGACAGTGTTTTGAAATTAAAATTTAATGAAACTGCGTTTTAAATAAAGGTCAACGTTTTACCGAACTCGCATAGAAGTACCTAGAACAAAAAGCTGGCCAAAATAAGAATTTTTAATGTGTTCTATGTTGTTTTATTTGTGTCAATGTGGCAATGGTTGAAATACGATAAGTAATGTTTTAAAATTTTGGGAAGTATTTAAATATTGGCATAATTTAGAACTATATATTTTTCAAAAATCAACTTTTTAGTAACAGCCCTTACTAGACGTAAACAAAATGATGAATGGTAAATATTTCACAGGTAATGAGTTCCTTGTATTCAATAATAATCCGGTAATAATGTCTAAGTATGTATATATGTATTTTAGGATATAATTATGAAGTGTCCAAAATATGAATCAAAACGGCAATTTTAAACTTGCGTGTGTAGTGCTGTAGTGTAGTCCTGGGACGGGACTTGACAATCCAGCTTCTCTCTCTTCTTAATGTTTTTGATGAATGTCCGTCGAAAATTAGTGCATGGTGTTTGACGGAGTTGACCAATGATGCCAGGATTGAAAAATGATTTTTCTATTTTAATTTTAATTTGATTCGGAGTTTCTACCGCAGCATCACCTTGTACATCATTTTTGTTTAACACAATAAAAACAACCATAAACAAACAAGAATATCCATCTCTTAAAGCACGCCCTGGACCCTATTTTCCAACTTTCCTTTCGCAAATATAAACAATTAACAACGCCATTGACGTCAACAATGATTCCGGCATCACTGCCAGACAGATTGATATGATCCCTATGTTCTTTTTATTCCACGATTGCTACTGTCAAATCGACCAATCAGCAACTGGCTCGGATTTGATAGCAAATTGGCTCGAAATCGCTACCCGATTGTCAAGTCCCGTCCCAGGTGTAGGCTAATAGCAACAATCAATACGAAACTAACGATTTTAAATTGGCTCACCACTTTAGTAGCCTATTGGTCCCAAGCAAACGATTAACGTACCCTATTCTAGTCGAAATGCTAGTACTACGCAATGTTTGTTTTGATTCGCTATGAAAGTTTGACAGATAAAATGAGGGGTTATTGGTTTTTCCTATGTTTCGAGGGGTGATTCGACAAGCTTGGGACCGAAGATAGTACCAGAGGTGAGCCAAAAAGTTGAGCACGTTTCTTCGGGACCTACTTGTCTTAGAGTTACCTCTATGCTAATAGTGTACTGGTGTACTAGTAGTAGTGCATAGTAGGCTACTATATCTTTAATTGACAGATTGAACCGCTGGACCAGATAACTTCATCATGGCTGATCCGGAAGAACAAAAACTAGACGTCTACTTCAAAGAAGATATGAGTTCAATTATTTCATTGCTATTTTTGCATGATTCTGAGGGTAACGTTTTAGTTTTGTGTGGCTGATTCTTAATACAATATGAGGATTGTTTTTGTCAATAATCAGTTTTCCCGTTTTTAGTTCGTCAAATGGCCAAGAAATGGATGACCACGTTTTACAGCATGGGATCCAATATCCTTGACAAGCAGACGCGAAATCGTTATGTTGCCTACATGCTGATGCAGTTAGAAGTCAATCACAAACTGTCAAAACCTTTTGATGAGCCAGCACCCGAACATATTCATGAACCGCTGGCAAAGATAATTGTAAGTCCACTGAATGTTTTTGCTATTAATGGGGTGGAGTAGAAATTCATGAAACCACAGACAAAATAATATGAAGATACCCTTGTCATCAATGGTTTAGGAGTTAACTAGTCGTCAAATGTGTATGAGAGGATCAACAAGAAAGTGTTATGTTTCATTTACTGTGACATTTATTTAACTTTGTTTGCAGGCTGCTGATGAGTACATAAAGTTTTTTGAAAAGTGTGTAAAATTCTACCTGTCGAAGAAACGTTCCGCTGGAGATCAGCAAATTCAGCAAGAATTCAGTATGAAGCCATGCGATTTTCTCTACAGGCTACCGCCCATCCAATCAGGAGTGGTCGTGTATGGCGCCTGCTTCAGCAAAGATAACCAATGAAGACAACCACCGATCGAAATTAAATATTCTCCCGTCTCATCATCATCCAGATCATTTATTTATATCACGTTCACCAAACAACAAAAAACATGGATGGCTCCGGCCATATTCAAATGTAATTTTGTTTGTTTTTCTTTATTTCATCTGCATACGGATGGACGACACGACGTGTTTATAATTTTGAATCACGTATTCAACGGGTTTCACATTTGCGTTGCTTCGTTGCTACCAAGCTCACAGTTGTTGTTCGATGCTCGTTTCGTTTCATAATGATCTTCCATCATCGAATGTGAGTGTGCTGCATAGGTTTTCTTGTTATTTTTGTTTTCTTACCACAGACCGCAGCACGGGTCGGACTGATCTTGGCTCGATGCTACAAAGCGATACACAATTTCTCCCATTTACACGCAGACGATCTTCTTTCTTGGCTCTCTGCATGAACTTCGCCCAGAGTGCATTGCAGCTTGTCCGTTGAAGTATGGCGCGTGAGGGGACGGGATGGCAGCATGGTTATATTTTATATTTATTACGTTTACTCTGAACGAAGGCTGGCTTTACCATCGTTTATTGGCGTAATCTAGCCACGCCTTTCTGTTAGTGGTTTTCTAGTTTGTTGTGTGAGTTTTGTTGTTTTCGTTACACTTAATCTACGCCCCGTTTGCTGGACTGTATCGCTGATGGGAGCTCCTTTCGAATCGAGAAACTCCACCTCTTCAGACTGATGGCCTTTGCTTTGGTGTGGCAGCTGTTTCTTGTGTCAATTAGCAGTTTGGATTTTTTGACGAGGTTCGTCAGATAGGTTTAGATTACTAATAAGATTAAGATGATAAGCTAAACTGATATTGTCGTACAATTGTTGTGATGGTTGAATACTCATTTTGCTGAGCAAATATAAATTAAGGGCCGGACAGTTGTCTTCGGCAAAACTGCACAAATTCATGGTTTCGGAAATGTGTTTTTTTTCTTTTTTATTACCGAATTCCTATCCATATCGTAAGCTCATAATGTTTACGATGTTCACAAATTATGTATAGCAATAAGGGGAAGGGGGTGTATAGACAAGTGTTTCAATTTTTACACTTTGTTTTGGCGGGAGGGGGAAGGGTGTTCTTGGTAAACTTACGCGTTTCAATGAAAGTTTAGAAATTTTGATCTCAAAGACAAAGAACTGATGAAACATAGCAAAATGCTGGTCTGACCCTTGAGAGTGGAAATATAATGATAGATGGATTTAATATTGCGCTCTTCTCACCATAGTGAACAAATAAGCGCGTTTGCCCTTATAAAAAAAGTGTGGTAAAAGCGCGAGCTTCCGTTCAATTGTCTTCGGAGCACTTATTTCTTACGACCCAAAAAAACGTGCCGGAGACGCATAAATGATTGAAGGAACCGTGCACTTTTATCACATATTTTCCATTTTTGGGTAGTCCACTTTCAGACGCAAGGCAGAGTATGTGAATTCGAAGAATCGGTGCTTTCTGGATTGAACTTAGTACTAACATGTAAATGAAAAATGGATGGCATCTCACGTATTTGCTGTCGATCGTAAAATCTTTCCTGCATCTTATATAGAGTCGTATTCGATTTGTGTATAGCAACTACGTACTATCCATACCTGTGTCTCATGCCGACGTTACCATTTCCAGAGTTACAAAACCAACGCTTTGGGGCTTCACCTAAAGTAAAAGATTGAATTGATAAGTTGTTTTAGAAATCTTGAACATAAAACAATGAGATCTAGTGAAAAATAAGTCGACATCAAGAGAGTTCTGGGTCTTTTCCTTTCTTACTTGAATTAAATGGAGATTATATGGGAATGGTGAGGAGAACTCGAGGTGAATTTTAATTACGATTCAATTTTAATTCTAAAGATAATTTATACAGACTTCTGAGGGTAACTACAAAGGAATACCAAGTGAATTTTAAAGTTTCATTAAAATTTCGAGAAGAGTTGCAAGTGTATAGAACTCTGAGGATACTTTCAGAGCACATTTAGAGATGATTTCAATAGAATTCTGTAGCTTGCCAGTACGATACTACTCCCAGTACTGATGAGACCCCCGTTTCCAAGCCTCAGGTGACACACGCTTCTTCACAGTTATATTCGGGGCCCCTTCACCTACCGTTAATCGTTGCCGCTTCTTTCCGTGCACTGCACAGTGGTTTAAATGCGCTAAAAGGTACGTTTTATTGTGTACGCAAAAAAGGATTATTTTAGACATACAATATCTTTGAAAAAGTTTGCGTGCATGGTTAGTTCGTTCTTTTGAACTTATTTTTTTCATCATTAATTCTCCTAGCAGGGAGATGAAAATAAAACGACATTTATAGAGTCGTGATAGCTAAATGGTATTTTCGGCAAAGTTTTAGATAATATGCAACCAGTTTGGTTTGCCAGATTTAGCCCGACTTTGAGTTGTTGGCCTTCGAAAAAGGGGAAATCCACGAATAAGTCACAAAATACAATAGATAGAATCTTACTTCTGGCGTATCTTTAAATGAAAACAAGTTTGTAGAACATGTCGATGACGACAAATTGCTTACAGAAAATTTATTGATAAAACATTGAACCCATCTCACAAAACTTGTAAGAGATATAGAGTTGATGCCTTCTACAAAAATGCTTGTTTTAATTCTATCTATGTATGACTTTGCCGTAAAGACCATTTAGTGATCACGACTCTAAATAAAAATGTTTTTACATCTCTCTGCTAGGTGGATGAATAAAAAAATAAGTTCAAACAAATGGGCTAGTCATGTATACAAACTTCTCCAAAGATACTGTACGCAATAATATACCCGGTATTTATTTAAATGGTGGTGGTATTTATGGTATTTTCATCACCAGCGCACGCACGGTATTTTCACCACGTTTCACGTAAGAAATCATGTGTTTTATGTCTGAAATCTAGCACCAGCTTTCAAAAATGTAAATAATTATCGTTAAATAACCAATTTTGGGGGAAAATGGGGCAAAATGGGCTATTAAGTATATACAGTATGAAATAGGATTGAATTGATGGTTTTGGATTCCCACCATATGATCCTTTGCATTTTATGGCTGAGGATAACTAGTAGTCGTAAATAAAGTCAAATACTAATTTCACTATAAAATGGAACGAATCGGGCAAAATGGTGCTCATCCCATTTTCTGTGCAAGATAAAATCGATTTCCTGATTTTTTTACATAATAATAGGTATCTCAAACCTCATAGAATCAGGGGCACGAAATAAGTGCAGTTCTGGGTCAGAAACTGCTACTAGCAATGTTCAGCGAGTAAATGGAGCTACCTACTTATCCTGCTATTGCAGCTGGTAGAAACCGAAATGGAAATTTTGATGATATGCTGAAAACTAACTAAATGTTTGATGCTATTCAAACTGGAGTTAAATTTGAAAATAAAATAGTCATGACTTTGAAATTCAGTAATGGATTTTAAATCCTTAAATATTTTAAATTGGAATTCTCGATCTCTTAAAGATAGTGAAGATGAGCTATTTAACTTTTTGGAGTTCATAACTGGAACGTACTTTTTAATTGACCATAAGGTTAAAAGGGACGCAAATTATTTCATTTATCGAAATGATCGTCTTGAAGGAGCCAGTGGTGGCGTTGCCATCATTGTTCATAGACGTATCAAACATCAAATTATTTCTTCATTTGCAACCAAACTTTTGTCGAAACAAAATTTGAACAACTTATGATTTTAGCTGCCTATTTGCCATTCCAATGCGTTGGCCAGCAAAAGAATTTTCTCAAGGGTGACCGTCAGAAACATATGCGTCATAGGTCTAAATTCTTCATTATTGGTGATTGTAATGCAAAACACCGCTCATGGACTAATGCTCAAAGCATTTCCAATGGTAATATTCTGTTTTATGATTGCTCTACAGGTTATTACACTATTCAATATCCAAACAGCCCAACATGCTTTTCTTCAGCAAGAAATCCCTCAACTATTGATGTGGTCTTATCTGATTCATGTCAACTTTGTAGCCAATTAGCTACCCATGCTAAATTCGGTTCTATCACCTTCCCGTAACTTTTGAAATATCTCTAGAAATAATGTCTTATCCCAACAGCTCTATTTTCAATAACCATAGCAATATTGGGAGCAATATCGAACATTTATCGAAAATAGCTTTGATCGAAACATTCCTTTGAAATCCAAAGATGATCTTAATTATGCTCTTGAATCTCTGACTACTTTTATAGTTGACGAAAGAGCTGCCTCAGTACCAAAATGCGAGGTTAAATTCGATTCAATAATAATACACGTCGATCTTCAGTTCTTGATCCGTCTTAAAAATGTCCGTAGGAGGCAATATAAAAGAACACGCTATCCTGCCATGAAAGTTATCTGGCGGGATTTGCAAAAACAAATTAAAAAACAATTCGCCCTGAGGAACAAAATTATTGAAAAAAAAAGTTTTAAAATTGGACCCGAGTTCCAAACCCTTTTGAAAGCTTACCAAATTTTTGAAAAACCTCAAAAGCCTATTGCAGCTCAGAAACTTGCTAAGCAATTCGAGAGTTCCCATAATTTCAGTTGTGGGTCTTACTAGTCCTACTGAGAATCAGGTTGCTCGGGATTATCTGAATACCGATAAGTTTGCTTTCTAAAGTAAAGTAAACCTTTTGAATAGATAATTTTGATTAGAATGATACTTCACATCAATACGAACTTAATTTTTGCAGATGAGCAGTTTGGATTTTGCCATGGGCATTCAACTACTCATCAACTCTTAAGAGTTACCAATTTAATTTGCTCAAACAAATCTGAAGGCTGCTCAACTGGAGTTGCTATTCTAGACAGTATTTGGCATGAAGGTTTGATTGCTAGATTGAAAAAAATTAATTTTGCACTCTATATTATGAAATTAGTTAAAATTTATTTAAGGGGTTACGCCACCCTAGGATTTTCAACAATTCGATTTTTTTTTCATAAAAAGATACTCTGAAGTGTCAAGAATAAGGGACAATTGGTTCCATGTCGAACAAATTAAAATTCCGAAAGTTATAAGCGAAATTACAAAACTTTGCATCACGCACCGCGTTTTTTTTTTCGATACAACATTTTTCTCCGCGGCCCACACGATAGCATCTGCAATTTTGACT